GTAAAACTTAGTTCCCTCCGGACGATAAATGATATCGCCATTTATTGCCGAAATGCCAGTATTCCAATCAAATGTAAAACGCTTTAATGTGGTAAAATATAAAGTCATTGAGTTGAATGACCATAGTGGAGATATAGCATTTATATATCGATCAAAACACATAGGCTGGAGATAAGTGTGCCCACCATTATCATTCAATAGACCGAGTTTCATCCAAGATCTAGCCACACACACACGCACATACTGGTGTTGGGTTACAAACTGGACACTAACTTGAGCAGGAGTGAATGGTTAGAGTATAGACGGAGATTCACTACTTATTATTATTTCTGATTGCTAAGAAGCACATAGGTTAGATTAAAAAGCGGCTGTTTACTGAATTCTTCTGGCATCTGTTATTGACTACTTGTTTCTTCCAGTTGTACTGTCGTTTAATGAGCATACCAACGAAACTAGCACCAACATAGAACCTTTCAGAAATCTACAATTATGTTTATGTCGGCGAAAGCACCGGTTCTCGTCCAACCAAAGAAGTTAAGTAATGTTGGGCCCGATTAGCGCTTGCATAGGTGACCAGCTGTTGTCGGATTTCTATGTGCGTCAGTGACACAGCGATAAGGACGCTCGCCGATCATGCACACGGTCCGGGATTCGATCCCCGGCCGACCCACATCTGATATCAATAGTCAGTCTGCTGTAAATTGTATGATTGTACCAAAACACTGTGTGGAATCAAGCTATAATTAAAAAAATTTCACCTGTCAAATGACAAAATGAATGACTGTAAAACTGAGTAAAGTAAAAACGCAGACATATATATATATATACATGCAGAAGGATGCTAATCAAATGACAGAGAAGCGTTACCGTGTTAACAACGGAGTGCTATACAAGGCCATGTGATACAGTTCTGCATTATGAGACCATGTGATCATATAAATGATCAGTGACTATATATATAATGAACACTACAGGTTTCTAAATGCTACATAATTAAGCGAACTAAAAATGGATCAGTTAGGTGGTATAAACTAGTTTAGCTATTAGTTTCTTTTACCTAGAGAAACATACAAAGATAGATTGAAAGAGAAACACACAGAGAGAGAGAGAGAGAGTAGGATTATCACAAGGAAAACATTTGATATCAATCAAAGCAAGTTTTGCTTATACAAAAAGGAATGTGTACACCAGTAGTAAGTCTACAACTTAACGTTGCCATGGTAATTTTTGCAATAGTAAATTCAAACAAACAACACCATCTGTTACCTTTGTTGCATTCATCTCTATATATGAATAATGATAACAGCTAAATAAACAAGTATGTGTTTGCTTTCAAAGAAACACACAATCATATCAACTTAAATTTAACTTTAAGACAGATTATAAACATTCATTCCATTGCCGTTGTTTGATATCGTGAAATTGTTCATGAGCATTGATTTTAACGTGTTAAGAGTAACACAGCCGTGCAATAAACGACCTGTGCTATAGCACAAACTGAAATCAACACATTTCATTCATTGACTACTGAACATTTGTAGACTATCTCATGGGATTATTTGAAAATTGGATAAAAAAATTGTTTAGTCGAAAAATTTTCTGAATCCATTATATATATACTTCTATGTTCACAACAAATAGGTTAAATCGCGAAATATGCCCATTCATTCACAAAGAAAAACAAAGTTACTTTCTTATTAAGCAAACATATATATCTCTTTTCAACGAATTTATTTTCAAAGTTCACAGTCGAATTTATATTACGGAAAAAGAAGGCATCAAGTCGAACTAGAAATTCATTAGTCAATATTGCACATATGATGCGTATATTGATCGATTGATTTTTTGTTTAAACTGAACTCTGTGCAAGTATGTTAAAAATTGTTGTTGTAGATATATTTAATAATGTCTTTGCCATGTAAGCAGCTGACGAGAAGGCAACGAAATAAAAGATGGTACCATTTTATTCTGCTAAAACTGTAGTTCTTGCTTTGTTCAAATTCATTAAGGGGAATAAATGTATGAAATAAAGATAATTCAAATGATGCACTAACGGGGTAGAGTCGAAGTCCATGAATTACTAAACCCTTTAGTGATTATTTAAAAAACATGAACTGGTATAAAGAATTTAGAATTTTGTAGGTCAGGTATTGTCTGAAAAATTAAGAGTACGATGATGATAACAATAAAAACGGCGAAGGTGAAGTGAATACGTGGAATGAATTCAAGTGGTAAAATAGAATAAAATAAACAAGGAATATCACTATGACCAAGATAGAGGAAAGGGTTTAACAAAACGCTTTGACACACATCACCTAGGTTCCTGTCCATCTGTCTGTGCAGCAGTTCAAGTCGCCACGCTCCATGTCCATGTATAGCTAGAGCTTCGACTATGCATAAGTGGAGGAAACGTAAGCTTTTCGAGTGATCGGATTTGGTCCTGTAGATTACTTCAAAGGATAAACCACGTGCGGCTCAATGATCTGACTCCAGAGGGTGTTCACAGATTCAAGACTTTGTCGTCCTTTGCTCACACCTTTCATTAACCAAACTGAGTAGTGAGTGTCCAGCTACGCGTTCACGGAGATTCCGATTACAACATCCAATGTAATCAGCTACACAGCACCATGTGAATCAGTATATGCACAGTCCAGTGACGTGGAAATTGTCACATTATCCAATCATCTTTCCGATGGAAAATACTAAATGTAAGTCAGCTTCATAAAAACAACCTTGAATACATTCACATAAACGACTTCCAATTCATTCAGAAATACTGTCATCTTTCAACGCCAAACTCGTAAACAGTGTCTTCTTTCGAACGCTGATTTCGCTGGGAATGGTTTCGTTGTCGATAAACCTCCTAGGATATCCATTATTTAAGAGAGGTGTGTGAGAAGGCCTTCTAATTCCAAGTCGGCTGTATCTACAGTGCGAATTTTCCGAATTCTGGAGCATGGGAAGCGGATAAGATTTCTCTGACTACCTAGAGGTACCTAACTGTTGTAGTTAGTGTTCTGACCTGTAAATGTTGGCTTTTGTTAGATTGACTTTTTTAACGTGACGTCCTCCTCCTATCTAGTATCACATCTTATAAGTGAAATGGGAAGTTCATCTAATTTCACTCTACCTCCTTAGTACATCATTTTAATTATCTTTATTCTTGTCATCAGATGTGTAATATTGACTGACGAATTTCTAGTTAGACTTGATGCATTCTTTTTCCGTAATATAAATACGACTGTGAACTTTGAAAATGAATTCGTTGAAAAGAGATATATATCTTCGGTTAAAAAGAAGAACTCTGTCTTTCCATATAAATGGGTAAAAACCCAAGAGTTCAAAGATTCGAAATTAGAAAATGAAACAGAAAACACGAAGAGAAATAAGGATAGGATGTTTATATTTAGATATTGTTTCTTCTAACATTTTTATCAGATATTAATCATGAATCTAAGATCAGTAGGCAGAATAGACAAAGACTTAGTTGAATTCATCGATGGAAACACGTATTGTGGTGAGAGCAGGCCGCTAGTCAATTGGTAGACATTAATTTACGTCAATGTCTAGGTCACTAATATTGGCCGTGAGAAAATATGAACAAGGCTGATTCAACAACCAATCACAGAAGACTTAACGTGGGCAAATAAGATTCGCAAATATATGGAGTAACTTCCCGAGAAACCCGAAACAACCAATCAGAAGACTGTGTTTGTCTGCTTGAATAAGCTATAATAATGTACATGAAATATATATATATATATATAAATACGTGCTGATTTCCGTAGTAAAAACGATCTGTTGCAGGCCCTTGTCTTCTGTTGTTACAGTATGATGTGAAGTTAAACGACATACATAATTCAAGTCTACCATTTGTTTACAGCAACAGTTGACTGTGTCTTCTAAGACGGTTAACTCTCCTTACTACGAACTGACAAACTGGCTAAAACAAATTGAAAACGGCTTAGTAATCGTAATATACAGGATACATTCAAGTTCTCTGTAACAGTACACTCACTAGAAACACCTAGTAAACTGATAATTACCTTCAACACACTTTTTCTTTTACTTACTGAAATCCTCTGAAATGAAAAAACAAACAAAACAAATTAGATTGTATGTCGTCAGCAGGCAAAACACCTTTCTACTCTGAAAACGCAAGTCAACTAGTTATTGACGCTACCTACTAGAAAGTTTAAACTTGAAATGAGTCATCGTCAACAGATTTCCTGTAAATTTACTTATAAAGTTGTCAGCTGTAATATCTGAGGGTTTATTCATTATCGAATTCGCGTGTACTTCCCACCGTTGACTTGACTATATAACTAAACGAAATGATGGAATTCGTCAAAAAAAGAAGATATTGCGAAATTGTCGCGGTATGTCGTGAATTGGCACAAGTTAGAATTCAAGGACCATTGGATCGGGTCCCAGTGGCTTAGTGGTATACGAGCTCGCTCGCCTTGTAACCAGAAGGGCCTGGGTTCGAACCCTGGCGGTGGGTGCGTACTGACGAAGAGTCCCGAACTAGGACGAAACAGCTGTCCAGTACTCCCTTCAGGTTTTCCAGTGGTTCTCTAACTGATGTCAGCTTATGGTGAAATCCTCCATGCAATTAAACAAAATCCCTACAAAGCCAATACTTGAAAAAACAAACATCCATCTGAATTAACTTTCAAATGGGATGAGGATGTTTCACATTTCTAGATTATTTGAAATAAACGCTACTACAGGGCTAGTGAAATCATTGTACCAAAGAAACACACAACTATGTTTAATACGGTAGATTGAAATCAAGTAAAGAATACAAACGATCAGTGGGATGGTGGAGCGAAATGGCTCGTCAACAAATATGTCGGGATATTCCATTCATGAGACAAGAAAAATAAACAGAATTACAGCTATATATATATATATATATATATATATATATCGCATGGAGGATTTCATCATGAGCTGACGTCAGTTAGAGAACCACTGGAAAATCAACTGGGAGTACTGGACAGCTGTTTCGTCCTAGTTTGAGACAGATTAGGGTCATCTACGAATAACAGTCTTCTTCAGTCTACATTGAAGCTGACTACACTTTCGTATATCTACTATCAAGTGAGATGTTTTCATAAGCTAATAAGCTCAAATAACTCTAAAAGTATTCCATGATCCCTGATAATACTGCTTGTAGTCTAGCTAATTCTTTATACATCAAATGCCCGATTACACTTTCTGTTCACATACAGTTACTTTCAGCTCGTTATCCCTTCAAGACACTGAATTGCTTAGTGTGCAACAGCACCATTAAGCTAAGCTTTTACTTATAGGCATCAGAATCGCAGACAATCGTGAAGACTTGAAAGAAGCTGCTAAAAGTGACAGAGACAGCGAACGCAAAAAGTAACGGACACACATACACGCACATTCCAATAAATCTCATGCAGATTTACCACTGAAAATTTGCCTGCCTCACACAAAATGATAAATAACAAATTTAACTGACCATCTCTCTCTCTCTGCACGAGCTACACACTGTAATTAATATGGGGTAGGTAAACTATTGACTAGAGTAGGAGAAGAGAAAGAACAACCTTGATTTATAGAAAATATTAAAATTCAAAAAAGGGAAACAATAATTATCATTTTGTACATTTTGGACAAAAAAAACACACAGAATACGAACGAGAGAGAGAGGAGCACTGATACAACAGAAAGAGAATAGCGATCACATCAGCTGAGTGAAAAAAGAAAAACTAATATTATATTTATGTATACTGCAGAAGATATCTCACCACTGAAGGAGAAGATAAATTTATTTTATTCGCTTTCTAGCCAGTTTCATCGAAATTTGTGCACAATAATAATGCAAAAGTGGGAAACTGAAGTCAGAATGGAAATTACATCACAGATTAAGCGAGAGAGAAAACACACACACGCACAACTGAACAGACAGGACAAAAATAAGTGAAAGAATGCGATAAAAGGTTCTATATGTTTTGACAATTAATTTTATTCATGACGAAGAAGATTGTGGATTGGCGGGTGTGTTCACTGTATCAGTACTTGATGTGTGCGCTTCTGTTTCACTGGAACTCTCAGCCTGTATAACCTGACGATCGATAGAACGAGATAAAACCACCTCTGAATAAGAGGGAGGCGAAGTTGTAATTGTCGTCAAGGTTGTTTGCAATTGCTCTTGTCGCGGAGAGTTGTCTAAGACTTCCGGCGATACATCAGTGTTATTTGTTGGTGGATTGACACACTGTTTAGATAAATCAATCGACTGAATTTCTGAATACGCAGGCGGAGGTTGAATGATATGCTTTAGGCTGGAGTACGCAGGGGGTGGAGGTGTACTCCGAAATCCATCTGAGTACAGACCGTTGGATCGACCAAAATCTATTAAGAGAATTTTATTACATAAAAGCTTTCAATGAAATTTGTAAAAAATAGGTTAAGACAATACGTATTTAAGATTTCTATGTCTAGTAAATTTTAAGTAGAGAAAGAAGTAGATCTATACCAAAGGTGGATAGAGAGATGCTGTGGTAAACGGTAACTGAGGCAGAATCCAATGTAGTTTACAGCACAACAACCTACCTATAGGGAAACTAATCATTAAGACGAGTAGTAGTAATAATAATGACCCACTAAAAGAAAAACTAATTTTTTACACAAAAAAAATAATATCGCTTAAACACAGAAACCGTACCAAACTGCTTATCGATGTCAGTGCCACACTTACCTTAACCTAAGCAATTTACTTCTATACATTTCAGCTAATGCTAGAATCACACTTATGAAAGACTGTAATTTGCAGAACAGTATCTGATACAATCCAGCATAAAATAGTTTTCATCCTCTCTCACAAATCTTGTGATTTATCTTGTGATGCAGTTACTACACTAATCCATCATTTCTCACACATATTGTGATTTATTGTGCGATCAATTCATCATATCTTTTGTTTCACCTTGGTCTTTGTCGGATCGTCAACCATTCAGAATAGCTATTTCCAGCCAATAAGAACAATCTATTCTCACGGCTGTGAGCCGACTTGATTGTGGTAAAGAAAACGCATAAATATGTAGACAAAGCAATAAGAAGACGTAATTTGTCTGAATTGTGAAATGTTGTACTTGCGTGCAACACATTTCGAACAATCTGATCACACATGGACATTTTATAGGAATATATATGAAATTAATAGATTTAAGAGGTAGGAAAATAGACTTAGGTCAAGCTAACAGGACATATTGAAGGTCAAAATAACAATGAAGGTCACCAAACTAAATGATAGAGGTAACAGTGTAACAACAGAAGACAAGGGCCAGGCAACAGATCGTTTTATTATGAAAATCAACACGTATTTATACATCTTTCAACTACATTATTATAGACAAGCGCAGTCATCTGATTGGTTGTTTAGGTAGACAAACGCAGGCTTCTGATTGGTTGTTTCGGGATTCCTTGACAAATAGAGTTCTCTCTGCGAATCATATTTTGCCACGTTAACTTTGCTGTGATTGGTTGTTGACTCAGGCTTGTTCATATTTTCTCACGGCCCATATTAGTGACCTAGACCTTAACGTAGATTAGTGCCAACCAATCGGCTAGCAGCCTGCTCTCACCACACTCGTCCCCCCGTCAAATACGTGCGACTGAAGTCGGCTTGATCTACTTGGTGCAGGCGTCATCGTTGGCTTGTCTCGCTGTATCCATTTCTGGAGCTCGCTGACGTTCACGCGCCTCTCATTGTTCGCCATTGCGACTGTGTCTGCGTAACCCCATCTCGAAGTGACCATATATGGTCCTTCCCACTTTGGAAACTGTTTGCCTGACCCTGTCGAACATTCGTCCATACTTCGGCCGACACCTTCATATGCTGCTTTCGCCCGACCTCCCAGCAGCGTCTCAAGTAGCAGCTCCATCGCTGACAGATCTTGAACGCCACTCAACTGCGCAGAAGCCTTGAAGTCCTGCCCGAAGATCCATATGTCTCCATCAAAAACTGCAGGGTATAGGCTTTTCATTTGTCGGTAGGCAGCGACACCAAATGTAACAACAGAAGACAAGGGCCAGGCAACAGATCGTTTTATTATGAAAATCAACACGTATTTATACATCTTTCAACTACATTATTATAGACAAGCGCAGTCATCTGATTGGTTGTTTAGGTAGACAAACGCAGGCTTCTGATTGGTTGTTTCGGGATTCCTTGACAAATAGAGTTCTCTCTGCGAATCATATTTTGCCACGTTAACTTTGCTGTGATTGGTTGTTGACTCAGGCTTGTTCATATTTTCTCACGGCCCATATTAGTGACCTAGACCTTAACGTAGATTAGTGCCAACCAATCGGCTAGCAGCCTGCTCTCACCACAACAGTATATCAACGGTGGCTGGTGTCAAAACAAAGTTTACTAAAGAAGGTTTAGTCTGATGACAAATTTTTGCTTTCAACGCATAAAGGTGGTTTAAACTCTCTAATTGCTAGGGCTTCAACCAACTTTAGGATACGCCGCCCCAAACACGTTTTATAGATAGGTTTGAAAAATGTGTAAATGTCGATTTTATGTCCTGTCTCTATTTGCTTCTGGAGCCATTCAGAAGTATGCTCGGAAGCCCTTACTGGCAGAGATCGATGAATCCTCCATATGTATGTGTGTATTTTTTCACCTCTTAGCACTTTATTAATTCATGGATAATCCCCATCCAGGCATTAATGACAACAAAACACGTAGATCATATATATTCCTATGAAAAGTCCGTGTTTGATCAGATTGTTCGAAATATGTTGCGCAGATACATTACACGATTCAAACAGATTATGTCTACTTATTGCTTTGTCTAAATTCATAAAGGGAGCTAATTGTTTTAAAAAGTATAAGTATTTGTTATTTCGTAATAAACATACAGCATCCTACAGTCACAGGCCAGCCTTTGTCTTATGATGTTTGTGTGGCTCAGTGAATCGGAAGGTACAACGGACAAATAGACGTATTAGCCTACTAGTCGAGTTCATTACCGTTAGAACAATTACCGGTGCAGATATAACATAGCACATTACCCCTTAAGCCTGGAAAAATACTGAAATAATTATGATAATTGGAAGATAATAAACCTTAAGCATCCTCAAATTTAGACTAGGCGCGTTCGTTATTCCAGTACTAACTGCTTAAATCATTGAGCCACGTAAATGTACTGTGCTAACTCTATTTCATACTGTTTTAGTAATACATTTATGTCTAAGAATCGCAATGTATACTCGGGCAGCTTTTCAAAATAGGTTTCCACCTATTGCTTCGAATTTTTTCCCAACGTAAATTGAGGAGAAACATTGTGGATTACTGGAGCCTGCCACCAATAAGACAACACCACTTTAGTCCATACATCACCACTTACTATTATTATTGTTCTGTACAAGCAGGAAATACATTGCAATAAGAAACTTGCTGAAAGTTCCGCATTATGTACAAACGCACTTTACAGAATAAAACAGTGGCTATCGTTTTAAAAAACTAATAGTAAGCAGCATTACTAGTTCGAATACAGAAAGGTGTATGATAAAAAAAAGTTATTATTAGGCAGCTAGGAAAGACAAAAGACAGTTCTACGACACAGGCTGGTAACTGAAACAGAATAGGTCGAAGGTAAAACAAACCTCAGGACATTTTATCAGATGGCAAAGACTCTACCCGGACACCAATCCTTCAGAGAAAGCAGAAATCTTGAGTGTGATCAAGCTACTGAAGTTCGGGGAGGCGGAAAGACAAGAAGGAATTCTCCTCGAAACGGTTACAGAGACCGTTTACACCTTTACTGTAAAAGGCTTGGGAAGGAAATTTGTCTACCGATCGGAAGAAAGGCTATCTTATCAAGCTACCAGAGAAGGGAGACTTAGGCCTGTGAAAAAACTGGTGTGAAATAATGCTCTAGTCCACGACATACGAAATACTAAGCTGCATCATCCTGGAGAGAATAAAAGATGTACTGGATACAGAATCCCGCCAGCCCAGAACAAGCTGAATTTAGGAAAGGCAAATCATGTGCTGATCAAATTGCAACTCTACGCATCGTCATCACAGAGCAAAGTATAAAATGGCAGTCGAACCTCTCTCTCTCTCTCTCTCTACCTCAACTTCCTTCATCGACTCCGAAAAGGCATTCGACAAACAGTATTGGCCAAGAAGTGATTTGGAAACTGCTTCAACACTACGGCGTGCACTGACCAAGTCTTTATCAACCCTCATTTAACAGCTGGCTGGTTATATGACAATGCCACGTGTCAGGTGGTCCACAAATGAGAAACTCAGTGGGGAGTTCGAAGTATTTATTTTATTTTTATTTATTTATTTTTTTTAAGACAAGCTGACTGTCTATTATCACCAATCATATTCCTAATTCAAGTGTTGGTTTGTAGGGATTTGATTGGTTTCAGGATTTCATCATGAGTTGACATTAGTTAGAGAACCATTGGAAAACCTGGGAGTACTGGACAGCTGTTTCGTCCTAGTTTGGGACTCTTCATCAGTACGCACCAACCGGAAGGTCCTGGGTTCGAATCCCGGTGGGTGCGTACTGCTGAAGAGCCCCAAACTAGGACGAAACAGCTGTCCAGTACTCCCAGGTTTTCCAATGGTTCTCTAACTAATGTCAGCTCATGATGAAATCCTGAAACATATTCCTAATTGTGATGGTCTGGACTATGCGTCAGAGTGTGCACAGAGAATAAGAAGACAGGAGAACGTTGACCCGATAAGAAGAGTCTGGAAGATCTGGATTTCGCAAATGATATCTAATGTCACGTAAACTTGAAGACTTTCAGGCGAAAACGAAAGAGTTGGTTGAAGAAGCTACCAGTGAAGACAGGACTCTGAGTGAACATAGAGGAGACGGAGGTGATGGGGATAATGAACGAATGACAACAACAACCAGCATCAATCACCATCAACTGTTGAGACTTAAGAGGTTACTTCCTTCACTTATCTGGGCAGCATCGCCTAAACCACAGGCAGATAGCACAATGAAGATGTCAAAGTCAGACAGCTGGAATTGGAAAGGCAAGATACGCCTTCATCAACGTGAAACCAGTTTGGAAATCTGCACTCCACCTCACTATAGACAACAAGATTGGAATTTTCAACACAAATGTGAAGTCAGTTATTCTATACGGGTCAGAAACTTGGCCGGCGCATCATAAAAAGCATTTCCAGGAAGTTACAGACTGTTATCAGCAGCTGCCACCTTAACTGGCTTCATAGTGAAGATCAGATGGCTAATCAGAAAGAATTAGCAATAAGAAACTGACTGGCTGGCTGGAGACAAACCAACCAAGAGCCGATCGCCGAACAAATATGTAGGGGAAAGTGGAGATGGACCGGGCATACGTTGAGGAGGTCGTCGAATGACATCGCATCCAATGCAGACCACTGCTCAAATGGAATCCCAGTGGGAAGCCGCGTCATCCTAAGGTGACATGAAGGAGATCGTGAGAAGGGGAGAAGAGAGATTATGGTCTATTGTTGACCCAGATGAAGAGGACGGCAGAAAGTATAAGGAAGTGGAGATGTGTTGTTGAAGTCATATGTTCTACTCGGATCTCAAGGGAATAATAATAATAATAATAATAATAATAAGGGAGCTTTGTGAAGCTGTAACAACAACAAGCACCAATCACTATCACTGGAAGGAATCTAAAGGAATTCACCTCTATCACTTATCTAGGCAGCATTGTCTCAACTACAAACGGCACAAGTCAGGACATAAAAATCAAAACAGACTTTCACCACTCTGCAACCAGTGAGGAAATTCGCTGACAGTGAGCATAACGAATAAGATTCGGAGTTTCAACACTAATATCAAGAGGTAGGGCTCCTATGTAGTTTCACAGACAAAAAGCATTTCCAACAGCCTGCTCCAAACGTTCACCAACACCTGACTTTACTCTGTACCAAAGACCAGATGGCCGACTAGAAAGAACAAACAATGAGTAGCTATGACAGCGAACCAACCAAGAATCCAAAAAGGAAATGGAGATGGGTTGGAGACATGCTAGTCGTGTCCTCGAGGGAAACCTGAATGCGAAACGCGTTGGTTGTGGGTCGAAGAGTGAGTGACATAGAGTGAGTCATCTTAGAAGCAAATGAAAGTTTATTGGCTTTATCATAGGAGCCAGTTAACGATGACTACAAAAAACAGCATGAAATGGAGATGCAGCGCTAAAACTCAAAGTGTCAATCGGAGCCCAAGGGGAATTAATAACAAGAATAATAATTGTGAAGCAATGACTATTATTCGATCAAGGAGTTCTAATGCAAATTGAATTCTGTCTCACTAGACGAAGTAGTACGACCACCAACTAGCATGCAATACTTATCGCTCATAGTTAAGCAAATACGCCTGCACATGTCTGTTGGGTTGATCAGTGTGATTAATGACTAATACTAATACAGTAGCAGTAGCCGCAGCCGCAGCTCTTTCTACCACTAAGTATTAAGTTTCTATAAATACACGAATAAAACACACTGCATAATTGATAATATCTGGTGTCTTTTCAGACTATAAATAGCAAAACACTATAACACAGTTATAATACAGTTAACTGTATCCGTTCTAACTATAGATGCTAAATATGCATTATAGGACATTTACACGAATGCCTTTCTACTACAAAAATTGTTAAACAGACGGCTTATGAAAGAAAGAAATTATAAGCAGGAAAAATTCTAATTCATTCGGACATGTCCTGCTTTTTATGCTTGAAGAAAAATACATGCCTACAAGCAAAGACAATGTGTGTGTGAGTGTGTATGCTTGTATGTATGTATGTGTGCACAGTCATCCTATGAAAAAGAACTAACATACATACAAGCCATGTGAATTATGAAGGCAAACAATGAATTACGTGCATATTTTTATCCAGTCAAATATAATCAGTTCACAGGAAATACAAAATTAAAATTTAACAAAAGCGCCATCACACAGTTGTATATGAGTTGACTGCAACAGCTTTATGCATAATGATGATTTGCTGTTTGTGGTGACGATTGTATCTAGGTTCGACCCCAAAAGGATACGCCACTAGTTGCCCGAGCTTCAGGTAAACACGCAGTTGAAAAGGCTCCAGGCTGGCAGGACAACAAACCAGTTCAAGATTCTAATGACAGCTTTCTTCAACAATATATAGTTATTAGCCAGTGTTACATATCATATATTTCAGAACATTAGTAAATTATCAGTGGAACCAATAAGTAAGTGTCCCTACGGTCAGATTAAAAGCTTTTAAGTGAGGGATAGGGTAAGGTGCAGCCGGTCGGGTGTGAGGACAAATACTCGCCGAAGACATTGGCTAGCGTTTGCGCTATATCGTGAATTGGCAGAAGTTAGAATTCATGAGCTATTGGATCGGGTCCCAGTGGCTTAATGGTAGACGAGCTCGCCTTGTAACCAGAAGATCCTGGGTTCGAATCCCAGTGGGTGCGCACTGATGAAGAGTCCTAAACTAGGACGAAACAGCTGTCCAGTACTCCCAGGTTTTCCAATGGTTCTCTAACTAATGTCAGCTTATGGTGAAATCTTGTAACCAATCAAATCCCTACAAACCAACTCTTAAAGTGAATGACTTTCTCTAATAAACACTCTCAGAATATATCATCGATTTAACTGAAGGATGCATAGATCGAGCATCTAGGCGCAGAAGAGGGCCATTACAGTCGTCAACCAACAGCAGTAACCATCGTTATCAAACCTAGTTCTCTAGCTAAAGCTCAAATTATTGAGACTACTATTAGTTACCGACGCTGCTGACGCGTACAAAAGCATATACAGCGCTTTGATGTGTGGCGGGGTTTCGGTGGTTATCAAAAACATCGTCTTAAACAGTTCGATACAAGCAAATTGATTTCATGTGCTACTCACTACAGCAAAATATCCCATTGTGTGTTAAGATTAGACAACTAACCTCTATACTACAAGACTCCATGAAGATGACAGGTAAATTCGCGAAAAACACGAACACACATGTTTCTGATACTCGGTGTATGAAAGAATTCAAGTAGATGTCGATTTTGTAAAGTAAAATGAGCAAAGAATATAAAAAAAACTATAGAAAAAAGATAATCTATGCAACTTACAAGATGAAAAATTTCGCCAGTTCGAATTATTGACATTTTCAATACCATGTAGACTGTTTGAACGATATGATCGTGTCTCCCATAAATTAAACGGTGGTGTGATTCCATGAATTCTAGCACGTCCAGAACGTGACGACGGTCGAGAGTAGTATTGTCGGTTAGTACTTGTATACGTCAGATCAGACAGTGAACAGTATGGACGTGTATGCAGATTACGGCGTAGATAGGCTCTACGACCAACAAGACTTAACCATGTTAATAAACAGAAGCATGCTAAAAGCATGGCGGGAATTTTAAACCATGAATAGGCAGTTTTACACGGTCGACATAAACATGGATCTAGGAAATATTCACTGAGAAAAAATATATAAGTATAAATTTTCAACAAAACAAAAAACAAATTGTCATATAAATATTACACAATAAATAATTGGAGAATTAACAGCAAAAACTAGAATACAGAGCAAAATAAGTCTTGTTTTTTAAATGCATCTCTCATGTACATAGTCATGACAATCAACACTGAATTCGTCTCGTCATATAGTAAAATTAATAATGTTTAGTGTAAATGTCATCAGGATGGGAAAGTGTATGTTTTCCAATGACAAAATAAAGCTGTAGGTGATTTCTGAAAGCAGTTTTAACTACAAAAAACCCCCACATTTCATAGTCAGTTAATCATAACAAACATTCGCCTACGAAACTGTTCAACTTCTTCTATTCTACTGAAAAGTCTTAATATACTTGTGACCTTTAGAGAATGGTAATTTTTGTAGCTTTCATAGAATGTAATCTGCACATAAAGATGAGTAACACATTACGCAAAAGCAGTATTATCAGGGATCATGGAATACTTTTAGAGTTATTTGAGCTTATTAGCTTATGAAAACATCTCACTTGATAGTAGATATACGAAAGTGTAGTCAGCTTCAATGTAGACTGAAGAAGACTGTTATTCGTAGATGACCCTAATCTGTCTCAAACTAGGACGAAACAGCTGTCCAGTACTCCCAGTTGATTTTCCAGTGGTTCTCTAACTGACGTCAGCTCATGATGAAATCCTCCATGCGATATATATATATATATATATATATATATATATATATAGCTGTAATTCTGTTTATTTTTCTTGTCTCATGAATGGAATATCCCGACATATTTGTTGACGAGCCATTTCGCTCCACCATCCCACTGATCGTTTGTATTCTTTACTTGATTTCAATCTACCGTATTAAACATAGTTGTGTGTTTCTTTGGTACAATGATTTCACTAGCCCTGTAGTAGCGTTTATTTCAAATAATCTAGAAATGTGAAACATCCTCATCCCATTTGAAAGTTAATTCAGATGGATGTTTGTTTTTTCAAGTATTGGCTTTGTAGGGATTTTGTTTAATTGCATGGAGGATTTCACCATAAGCTGACATCAGTTAGAGAACCACTGGAAAACCTGAAGGGAGTACTGGACAGCTGTTTCGTCCTAGTTCGGGACTCTTCGTCAGTACGCACCCACCGCCAGGGTTCGAACCCAGGCCCTTCTGGTTACAAGGCGAGCGAGCTCGTATACCACTAAGCCACTGGGACCCGATCCAATGGTCCTTGAATTCTAACTTCTGCCAATTCACGACATACCGCGACAATTTCGCAATATCTTCTTTTTTTGACGAATTCCATCATTTCGTTTAGTTATATAGTCAAGTCAACGGTGGGAAGTACACGCGAATTCGATAATGAATAAACCCTCAGATATTACAGCTGACAACTTTATAAGTAAATTTACAGGAAATCTGTTGACGATGACTCATTTCAAGTTTAAACTTTCTAGTAGGTAGCGTCAATAACTAGTTGACTTGCGTTTTCAGAGTAGAAAGGTGTTTTGCCTGCTGACGACATACAATCTAATTTGTTTTGTTTGTTTTTTCATTTCAGAGGATTTCAGTAAGTAAAAGAAAAAGTGTGTTGAAGGTAATTATCAGTTTACTAGGTGTTTCTAGTGAGTGTACTGTTACAGAGAACTTGAATGTATCCTGTATATTACGATTACTAAGCCGTTTTCAATTTGTTTTAGCCAGTTTGTCAGTTCGTAGTAAGGAGAGTTAACCGTCTTAGAAGACACAGTCAACTGTTGCTGTAAACAAATGGTAGACTTGAATTATGTATGTCGTTTAACTTCACATCATACTGTAACAACAGAAGACAAGGGCCTGCAACAGATCGTTTTTACTACGGAAATCAGCACGTATTTATATATATATATATATATTTCATGTACATTATTATAGCTTATTCAAGCAGACAAACACAGTCTTCTGATTGGTTGTTTCGGGTTTCTCGGGAAGTTACTCCATATATTTGCGAATCTTATTTGCCCACGTTAAGTCTTCTGTGATTGGTTGTTGAATGAGCCTTGTTCATATTTTCTCACGGCCAATATTAGTGACCTAGACATTGACGTAAATTAATGTCTACCAATTGGCTAGCGGCCTGCTCTCACCACAATACGTGTTTCCATCGATGAATTCAACTAAGTCTTTGTCTATTCTGCCTACTGATCTTAGATTCATGATTAATATCTGATAAAAATGTTAGAAGAAACAATATCTAAATATAAACATCCTATCCTTATTTCTCTTCGTGTTTTCTGTTTCATTTTCTAATTTCGAATCTTTGAACTCTTGGGTTTTTACCCATTTATATGGAAAGACAGAGTTCTTCTTTTTAACCGAAGATATATATCTCTTTTCAACGAATTCATTTTCAAAGTTCACAGTCGTATTTATATTACGGAAAAAGAATGCATCAAGTCTAACTAGAAATTCGTCAGTCAATATTACACATCTGATGACAAGAATAAAGATAATTAAAATGATGTACTAAGGAGGTAGAGTGAAATTAGATGAACTTCCCATTTCACTTATAAGATGTGATACTAGATAGGAGGAGGACGTCACGTTAAAAAAGTCAATCTAACAAAAGCCAACATTTACAGGTCAGAACACTAACTACAACAGTTAGGTACCTCTAGGTAGTCAGAGAAATCTTATCCGCTTCCCATGCTCCAGAATTCGGAAAATTCGCACTGTAGATACAGCCGACTTGGAATTAGAAGGCCTTCTCACACACCTCTCTTAAATAATGGATATCCTAGGAGGTTTATCGACAACGAAACCATTCCCAGCGAAATCAGCGTTCGAAAGAAGACACTGTTTACGAGTTTGGCGTTGAAAGATGACAGTATTTCTGAATGAATTGGAAGTCGTTTATGTGAATGTATTCAAGGTTGTTTTTATGAAGCTGACTTACATTTAGTATTTTCCATCGGAAAGATGATTGGATAATGTGACAATTTCCACGTCACTGGACTGTGCATATACTGATTCACATGGTGCTGTGTAGCTGATTACATTGGATGTTGTAATCGGAATCTCCGTGAACGCGTAGCTGGACACTCACTACTCAGTTTGGTTAATGAAAGGTGTGAGCAAAGGACGACAAAGTCTTGAATCTGTGAACACCCTCTGGAGTCAGATCATTGAGCCGCACGTGGTTTATCCTTTGAAGTAATCTACAGGACCAAATCCGATCACTCGAAAAGCTTACGTTTCCTCCACTTATGCATAGTCGAAGCTCTAGCTATACATGGACATGGAGCGTGGCGACTTGAACTGCTGCACAGACAGATGGACAGGAACCTAGGTGATGTGTGTCAAAGCGTTTTGTTAAACCCTTTCCTCTATCTTGGTCATAGTGATATTCCTTGTTTATTTTATTCTATTTTACCACTTGAATTCATTCCACGTATTCACTTCACCTTCGCCGTTTTTATTGTTATCATCATCGTACTCTTAATTTTTCAGACAATACCTGACCTACAAAATTCTAAATTCCTTATACCAGTTCATGTTTTTTAAATAATCACTAAAGGGTTTAGTAATTCATGGACTTCGACTCTACCCCGTTAGTGCATCATTTGAATTATCTTTATTTCTATCATCATATGTGCAATATTGACTAATGAATTTCTAGTTCAGTAGGATTGTATGTAGTAGTTGGGGTTAAAAGAAAAAGCTTGGGGGAGGTAATATTGAGTAGGTGACTGACAGGATGAATTGAACAATAAGGTTTAGACTGCAGACTGTGTGTATCCTCCAAATGTTTTGAATAAACCAATCACTATTGTTGTGCAACAACGACAGAGTCAAAGTCAAGTGTAATCATATTTAAGACTCTGGTCATTTTATTTTATTAACACCACTTATATATACTCAATATAATAGTATGATGATGAGCTGACATCAGTTAGGGCCATTGGATAGAATCCCAATGGCTCAGTTGGTTTACGAGCTATCTCGCCTTGTAACCAGAAGGTCATGCGTTCGAACACTGTTGGATGCGTGCTGATGGAGAGTCCCAAACTAGGACGAAACGCCTGTCCACTACTCCCAGGCTTCCCAAAGGTTTTCCAGATGACGTTAGCTCATGATTAAATACTCTAACTAATCAAACAATAATCCCTACGAAACCAATACTTGAAAATAAAAGTATTAGCTTATTCACACTGCGACATTTTGATTTCACTCCTATACTTAGAGGATGCAAGTACATCAAGAAAACAAGTCCTTGGATTACACGGTTAGTCATCATCAAGCAAAAAGCTGTGACACAGTAGTTAGTATTAATATTAATATAGTTGTAAGCAATCAATGGTTTATCAGAATTATATTATCCAACAGACTTTACTTTCATTGTTTGAATAGTGTTCTCAGCTATAGTGAGTATGGATGGAGGTTTTATCTTCAACACTGCTTTAATTACATAACAATAAGGATGTGTTTCACTGGTCAGACAGTTTTATGCACGCTAACAGGAAGTCGAGCGTGTGGGACTACACTATTATTACAGATTGCAGAAATTATACTCAATGGACTTAATGAACTAAAAACAACCTTTTTTTGTTACTAATTTGATGATATTGCGCATATTTACCTACAACATCATATCCTGTGTTCCACTTCCTGATTTGAAAGACTTAGGAAGTAAAACATTACGCAAGTGTAGATAAATTTCAGTAACATGACTACTGACACTCTTTCACACACATACACACACGCACACACCAGCTGTCAAATGTAATGGCATTTACTAAAACAAATATAATAAGAATAATTCAATATGAAATAAACGACCTCCAAGTTTTTTTCAAGGACACTGCTGAGTGTACTTTAGTCTTATATATATATATATATATATATATATAATAGATGGCGATGCGTATTCATGAGGTGTTAAAAGGCATATTTAGACACTTGTTAAAAGAAAATATTACAGGCTTCTAGAGATTTTTTAAAATACAAACAGCATGATTTCGGTTGAATGTTTTCCGTGAAATTCTGATTGTCCGCAGTATGTCAAACTACAATCGTCTAACAAGGACAAACTCATTGAATTTATAAAGCTTAAAAATACAGAAATCTAGTCGGACGTTCAGTATTTCAGTGATCAGAAGTGAGAATATCACTGTGAATGATTTACAGTGATCGGCTTTCGACAATATAGTGAAGACTCTTCACAATGATTCGTTCAATTGTTACTGGTCTCTACAGCTTCCTAGTTTAAGGATATCGATTGAAATGGTTGAGGACTCATTGGCCACTAGATCAGATCTACGAGCCAGTCTTATAATCGGAAGGTACTGAAGAGTCCGATACTCGGATGGAATAACTACCTAGTACTCCATGATGTCGTCAGCTCGTGATCAGATCTGATTAGATCCTTTTCAATCCAACACTAGACGATAGATACACTTGTATGATTTATGGTGAATTCAAATAAGTTCACAATTGATCATATAAAAGCTTGTGCCGAAGACGCTGGTCTAGAAGAACAACGAAAGCTTCGCAATTAAGTCACCAAGCTGTTCAGAGAACACAACCCAAAACAAAGTATATAGGCACACTGAATTAATAATTAAGGTAAATTTATTAGTGAATTAATTATTAACAAGGATAACCGTGATTAAATTTATTAATTATGTATGCATAAAGTCAACGTGATAGAAATTCCATGTGATAATAATAGTAAGCGTAATTATAGTATGCATACTACAATATCATATGAAGGATGTATTATCCACAAACTAATCGATATTTTGATGCTAATACAATAACATATACAAATTTTTATAAAAAATAATAATACATCCCCATTATTATACGAAACACATTCATGTCACTAGATAGTTAAATGCTGTACACACTTATGCCTTTGCATCTGTATGCATGTGTGTCAGGAAGGGGAGGACGAAAAACGAGTAGGAATGAGAATTCAGTGTGTTAGCCTTTTGTATGCTTGTGACTATGCACGATGGCACGTAAATATGCATATAATAAGTGGTCTTGCTACTCTATTTGCGATTAGCATGTGGTGGTTTGTCGTTTAATTTTTGTACAAAACTGCCTAGTACTGTCATTTTTACAAGTTAAAAATGTCAACAAAGAATCCATTAAATCTTCTATAGTTTCGTTTGTAAGGGTTAGTTATGTTTTTACGAGTTGATCACGGATTGATATCAGTTAGAGAACTATTGAAAACCGGGGAGTATTGTACAGCTGTTTCATCCTAGTCTGGGAATCATCGTCAATACGCATCCACTGGGATCCCCTACCCAGGACCGTCCGGTTACAAGTCAAGCTCGTATACCATTCAGCCACTAGGACCCGATTCAATGGTCAGCAAGCTCATGAATTCTAACTTCTACCAATTCGTCATTTAGCGTGACCCCAACCATTATCGTTGGTGGGACATCCATCCACACACGTGACATCTAATTGGACCTCACTGGTCACAACTTCTCACTAGAAATCCAGGAAACTCCATCCTGTGGCAAGTCACTAGCGAGCATCAGATTAATTTTCTGCAGTTTGGTTTGTAAGGGTTAGTTATGTTGGGGTCGCGTTAAAATCACGAAGTGGTAGAAGTTAGAATTCATGAAACATTGAATTAGGTCCCAGTGGCTGAATGATATACGAGCTTGCCTTGTAACAGGAAGGTCCTGGGTTCGAACCCCTGTGGATTGGTGGGTGCGTACTACCGATGATTCCCAAACTAGGATGAAAAAGCTGTACAGTACTCCCTGGTTTTCAATAGTTCTCTAATTAATATCAATCCGTGATATATATATATATATATATATCTTCGATAACATCATTAGGAGCAGCAATAACCTGAATACACGAACTGTGTACAAGAAGCTGTGATTCACTGATACTGCTGCCTAATCTGAAATAATGTTTACGATGACAGACATACTAGCTGTGTCACATGCAATGTTACACAAACCAGATACCTAAGACATCAACAGTCTTAAGGAATCCGACTTTTCTTCAACATCATATCCTCGGGTAGTCATTACAGAAGGCATCATTCCGAAACATGATTCGATATCTCTATTTCCTTGAGACTCGAATGCAATCCACTCAAAACTCAGACTCATGACGAACCCAGAGAGAATAATGATAAAATATTCAAAATTTACAAAAAAATTACCTTCAACCAGCAAACATGCACTTTACTATATTGTTCAGAAATACAAATCAGTGGGATGGGTAGATACATAAACCACTAGTGTATATTTTGTTTATTTTTGATTTGTTTTGATTACAGCTTGATTCCACACTGTATTTTTGGTACAAGTATGGAATTTTCAGAATGTGATATCGGTAGCCAAAATTTTGCAGGGCGACCATAGATATCAGGTGTGCGTCGGCAGGGGATCGAACCTCGGACCATGTGCATGGTCAGCGAGAGTCCTAATCACTGTGTCACCGACGCACACTTCTGACCTAACTGCTCAAAATCATATCACTGTAACACAAAAACTACATGAGGAGAAAACCATATTAATCCAAATAGGAATAACTGGGCTAAATCTAATTGATGCAATATAAATATCGTACACACAAAAAAAAAAGAATTTTGAAAATATTTTTCTTCTGAAGACTTACCGTAAAATAAACACTGTTTGACGAATGTTGGTAGCGATTTCTTTATTTGAATCATAACGACCGCTTAGGCGTCGTGTACATTCTGAATTTAAAGTGCGCGCAACTATTGATCCATACGAAATATGTATCTGAATAATAAATGCATAGAAAAGAGGCAATCGCATTGCACTTTAATAACATTTAATGGCATTCATTACTCGGGCTATAAAAAAAAACAATATGCAGTGTATGTATTGAGAAGGTTTCTAATGAATGTATTAGAAACGCTAACACAATGCATGTGTAAGTATGTTTATAGACTGCTTGTGAATATATATATATATATATATATATTGATCTGGGTGTTGAGTTCACCTGGTGAGTAGGTCGTGAAACCTCATTGATGAAAAGTATCAAACAAGAGACAGAGAAAGAGAGACAAAAGTTAGATAAAACCAACCTGGCACAAATCTTCCATTTACTAGAAAATGAACCATCCCATTTATTGAGTGCAGGTTGATGATCCTATTTAGTTGCTCAGGCTGAAATAGGTCAGATTCAGACCCTAAAATCATTGTCTCAAAGTCAAATGCCTAAGTTAATAAGCTTCATCTTTCTACGGTATTACTTATTTTGGCTGATGCGTTTTCAGTTGCTTTTACTTTTGCCACTCACAAGTATTCTGAGTTGTTGAGAGGACTTTTAGTCAGATTAAGTTTAAACATGAGATATACATATAAGGTAACATATGTGTACAACTAAAAGCCAGTTTACGATATAGCATTGTAAATTTAGAAAATTTGCCGAGTTTGCGGTTCGGTTACAAAGACAAATGGTATGATCAATTCCATTGAAGTTACGAATATATATTATAAGGATGAAAGCTTTGTAAGTATGGAATTCAAGTCTAACGATTTGATCATATTAGATGGTTGGAGGCAATCGACCATAGGAAGCCTTCGATCTAGGTTTCGTGCTAGCTGACACTCACTAGCCAGCAAGGCGTCTCTGCAACCTTGAAGGAACTCATGTCCTTTCTGAGATTCGAACCCGCGTCACCCAGTGAGTACTGTAGTCAGAGACGTCACCACTGAGCTATTCACACTCGCAATCGACCTCCTGTAGGACTGGATTGGATACTTTGAATATACACTGGTAAGTAGTGTGACGCGTGTCTACTCCTTTCTTTGATGCAGACTGAATTCTATCAGTCAGGTTTGCAATGTGGCCACCATTCTAGGTAGCTCGCCATCACGGTGCACATTGATTTGAGGATATTAGATGACTGATAGAATTCAGTCTGCATCAAAGAAAGGACTTGACACATCACACTAGTTACTAGTGTCCATTCAAAGTCTAGTGATTCTCAAAAAAATATTCAAATCATTTACTTGGATATTTTCAAAAGTCATTTCGGAGTATTAAAATTCTGCTGGCTAACAAACAGTTTAACAAATGGACTGCATTTATAGCAAATAAACATCATTTGTATGCCATGCCAACACACTCACCATCTTCTGTACTGAAGCGAGATGGAGAGGAACAGATTTTAAGGCTTGAAAAGTTTTGCATAGATCTGTTATCAGTTTAAAATTATAGTATACCTTTTAAAAACAGTACAACTAAGTAGACGAGAACAGAAATAGAATGTGATACTACAACATTAGAAGAACGTGAATGTGATACAGAAGACATGCTTAGTGTCTTAGTTAACTGGATGATAAACAAATGAAAAGCCTTCAATGTCTTTTTACAACCATCGTAAGTGGGAGATTAGTCAGGAGTGAATACATTTGAGGCAAGTCACAGTTAGTCTATGACTATTGATTCTTAGCCTACTGAAATACCAGTGTAACCAATGCACATGTTTTTTAATGTGGCTAAGATCAACTGTAGTACAGTGGCAATCATAAAAAGAAAAGCTTTCTGTACAATCGATACTTGCTTGCTGTTAATTGGTGTATAAGTATCATATTCGACTCCATAAACAACGGAGTATCCTATGGAAATTAGTCGCTAAAACTCAAAAAAAAAAATCTCAATACTGTTATATGGCTGCACTTTACTATTACCGGAAATACATCACCTACTACAACCTCCTCTTATAGATTGACTGAGTTTCAACATGGACCTATGCACAGAGAAATGCACCAGTTAGTTCAAGGAGCCAGAACTCATGTAGCAGAAAAACGTAGGGAAAAAAGAAGTAAAAAGAAATTCAAGAAAAAAAAACAACTTTAGTGAGTAGAAATGTAGGGGAGAAAGAAAGAAGGGTAACTTGAGAAAATCATGAGAATTGAATGAATGTGAGTGATTATACAAAGAGTGAATATACAACTGGGTCAATGAGAAGGGCTTCGAACCGTATCACCAAAACAGTCTACAGCAACTGTTTATTAGCATCATTCAGAGGACTCGAACCAAACCACCTTTAACTCTTTCCCAGCCTAATTCGATGTCAGCTAACATTGCCCGACGAGGCAATCTCCCCTTGTTAACAAGCAAGAAAGAACACATTCATTCATTCATTGTGGCATTGATTGACTTTGGTCAAGATCCAAGTGATACAAACGAGTGCATAAACAGACACGAAAAACATTGTATAAAAACTTCAAAGCCAGAGTTTTAACTCGAACAGTTAAAAAAAGAAAGGTAAAAATTCTCTTTTATAAGTGAACCCGTATCTTCAAAGCATATTTTTTCTTCTTTTCTACATTGGTTTATGCATAAACTCTAATGATTATCATTATCACATGTAGTTAAGAAGTAACAGAACACAACATAATACAACACAACATTGAGTAGAATAGAACACGTTATTTTGGATCAGATGATTAGTAATAAATTAGTCTATACAACAATGTGTAAACGTGTGTGTGTACTAGAAAGACCAGTACCATAGCATTGTAATTAAACTATGAAATTTATTTTAAAAATTTTTCACTCAGCAACCAGAAAACGTATTCCATTGTCAACACCCTCCCCCAAAACATCATATATATCATTTATTACTGACGTTAAAGCGTGGTCTTCTCTCAGTGATGAAAAGTGAATATATCCTCATGCTAGCCTCCAGATACTGTTAAATCCTGACGAAATGCTGTTATATATATATTTCATAAACTACTTTCAGTGCCGCTGTGATTCTTGTTGATACCGCAGCTCTGTAGGTTACCGCGTTTTGCACCATTCTTTATCTACAACAGTAAGTACTCTGTTAGATCTATAGCGTGTGAGTGATTCAAGGCGTAGTGATGTATGTGAATAATGGATTATGTTAAATTGGTTAAATTAATTTTGCATTTCCTGGTTATTGGTTAAAAGAGATGCTCAGTCTCTGTTGAGATTTCGCCTCCACGTACGGATTCTTCGACGATGGCTGACGGCGACTAGCAGTAGAATCCAAGATGTACCTGACCGCCGCAGTGAGCGATGATTCCCCCCCCCAGCACCCATGGTTTCAAATACCAAAACGTTATCCGCTAGACCACAATGAGGACACGAGAGTCACCTTTCGTGCTGAAGTTTGCTTAAGTTAACTTCACATTTCCCATTGATTAATATTAGGCCGGAATTTACGGGACTACACAGGGTACATCCAGATAACGAGTGCCAAATAGGACGACATAAGAATCCTAAATTTCACTGCTAGTCACCATCTACTAAATAACACAGTGGCTCGTGTTATTTACTTATTTTCAGTCTGCCAACCAGAGGTTGATTTAAATTGCTGGCGCTCTGAAACAAGGAGTATTCGAGATGTTGTGGATATTTACGTTCTCAAGTCTAAAGCCTCAGAGATGAGTTTGACTATTTCTAAGCATTATAAAGATAAGGTGTACACATTTTCAGAACCCGATGGTAATCAAAGCATCTCTGAAGTACTCAATAATGGGTGACATATATATATATATATATATATATATATATATATATATATACCAAGGTAAAGAGAAGAGAGGAAAAAGAGCTATAGGGAACAGAAATAAGTGGGAGAAAGGATAGTGACACTGGAAAATATGAGAATTTAATGGACAAAGGTGACTGCACACAGCGAATGCATCTGAGTTGATTGAGAACAAGTGAGCCATGTGTCACCAACCATTTTGCTGACCATTGGATCTTAGCATTTCAACATGAACCCGACTACACCACAGTCAACACCTCCCCTACATGGCTGGCTCAAACTAACAGTGGGAGACTTCATAGATTGATGACAATTTTTTTTTGGTTTGACCACTTCCAAATCTTTTCCTACCTAATCTAATGTCAACTAACATTGCTCCATAGAGATCAAGTATGCAAAACGATCGTTTTACCTGAACGGAAAATAACACTGTAGCGCATTGAGCTCCGTTTTGTTTTTTACTACTATTTATTAAAGATTCATGAATCACAGCTTCATCACGATATAGACACACACAAACACACACGCACAATACACACATCTATCTACTTGTTATAATTATGCAAATACTAATAGAGTATTTCACCCACCACACGTATAAATATTAGAAAAAATCGATATACTTGTTCCATCACAAGGGAAGATAAGATCACGCGACAATCAGTGTAAAATACATAGAGAAATTGGTGAAACACAATAACACTACCAAATAAAAAAAATCTTTTATTTTCGATTATCTTTTCTTTTAAAGAAAAACTTATTAAGAAATGTGATGAAGTGTAAAATTGCCAGCTTATCAAACCATTTATTACTATTATATTTGTTACTATAATTACATGAACACATTGTAGCATAATTATGCATTAGAAATGACTCATATAGTACACCAGTAAAGAAATAGAGTACACACATATAAATGCTGTCGACTTGTGATGAATAGTGCCTCACAAAAAGAGTCATTGTTTGAGCCTGCATTTTCTTCGCTGATAGACACTTGTCAAGTATGAAATTTTTGTGAGACACACCGATGACGTCATTTGTCAGTCGTCGAAGAACAAGGACTGATCGATAAAAAAGTGATCTCGCTGTAGGCATGGTGATTTTGTTTAGTAGAATTTAGTTTAGCATATTATAATTCTTTTGGATAGCATTCACGTCCTTAAGAAGACTTACCATATATATATATATACCACTTGTCAACTCAATTTATGTGAAAAAAAATAAACAAAGTAATTGAAAGAC